TAAAAATCGCGGGAGGGGTTAGTGATGGAGGGGGGGGGGGTCCTAAAAAGAAGGGGGAGCCCAAAAATCGCGGGGGAAATCGAGGCACGGCAAAGGGGGAAAAGCACCGAAAGCAGAGGGGAAACTGAGGCACGGGGCACGGGGGAACCCCCAAAATCACCAAATGTTAGGGGGAAACTGAGGCACGGGGCACCCCAAAAATCGGGGGAGGGGCTGTGGGTGTAGGGGGGAATGCTAAAAAGCAACGGGGACCCCAAAAATCCCGGGGGAAACTGAGGCACAGCCATGTGAGGGTTCATCCTCGATCTGGGGGTGCCAATCCCGATTTTGGGGTCCCCTCCCTCGCCTCGGGGCGCCGCCGCCCTCAGCAGGGTGCGGATGAGCTCGGGCACGTCGAAGGGGGAGATCCCTGAGCCTCAGCGGGATTTTGGGGTGTCATTTGGGGTTTGAGGGTGTCAGTTCGGGTTTGAGGGGTTCAGTCGGGATTTTGGGGGTTCAGTTTGGATTTTGGGGTGCTCCCCCCTCACCTCGGGGCGCCGCCGCCCTGAGCAGGGTGCGGATGAGCTCGGGCACGTCGGACGGGTGGGTTTGGGGGTGTCAGTCGGGGTTTGGGGGTTCATTGCCAATCTGGGGGTGCCAATCCCGGTTTTTGGGGTCAATTCCCGATTTTGGGGTCCCCTCCCTCACCTCGGGGCGCCGCCGCCCTCAGCAGGGTGCGGATGAGCTCGGGCACGTCGAAGTGAGGGGGTCCCTGAGCCTCACTGGGGTTTTGGGGTGTCCCTGTTGCTATGGGGGTTCAGTTTGGATTTTGGGGGTTCAGTTTGGATTTTGGGGGTTCAGTTTGGATTTTGGGGTGCTCCCCCCTCACCTCGGGGCGCGGCCGCCCGGAGCAGGGTGCGGATGAGCTCGGGCACGTCGAAGTGAGGGGGTCCCTGAGCCTCATTGTGATTTTGGGTGTCCCTGTCACTATGGGGGTGCCAATCCCAATTTGGGGGTGCCAATCCCAATTTGGGGTGCCAATCGCGATTTTGGGGTGCTCCCCCCTCACCTCGGGGCGCGGCCGCCCGGAGCAGGGTGCGGATGAGCTCAGGCACGTCGGAGGGGTGGGTTTGGGGGGTGTCAGTCGGGCTTTGGGGGGCTCAGCGCGGGTTTGGGGGTGTCATTCGGGGTTTGGGGGTTCAGTTTGGATTTTGGGGTGCTCCCCCCTCACCTCGGGGCGCCGCCGCCCTCAGCAGGGTGCGGATGAGCTCGGGCACGTCGGACGGGTGGGTTTGGGGGTGTCAGTCGGGGTTTGGGGGGTTCATTGCCAATCTGGGGGTGCCAATCCCGGTTTTTGGGGTTCATTCCCGATTTTGGGGTCCCCTCCCTCACCTCGGGGCGCGGCCGCCCGGAGCAGGGTGCGGATGAGCTCGGGCACGTCGAAGTGAGGGGGTCCCTGAGCCTCACTGGGGTTTGGGGTGTCCCTGTCACTATGGGGGTGCCAATCCCAATTTGGGGGTGCCAATCCCAATTTGGGGTGCCAATCCCGATTTTGGGGTGCTCCCCCCTCACCTCGGGGCGCCGCCGCCCTGAGCAGGGTGCGGATGAGCTCGGGCACGTCGGAGGGGTGGGTTTGGGGGTGTCAGTCGGGGTTTGGGGGGTTCATTGCCAATCTGGGGGTGCCAATCCCGGTTTTTGGGGTCAATTCCCGATTTTGGGGTCCCCTCCCTCACCTCGGGGCGCCGCCGCCCTCAGCAGGGTGCGGATGAGCTCGGGCACGTCGAAGTGAGGGGGTCCCTGAGCCTCACTGGGGTTTGGGGTGTCCCTGTCACTATGGGGGTGCCAATCCCAATTTGGGGGTGCCAATCCCAATTTGGGGGTGCCAATCCCGATTTTGGGGTGCTCCCCCCTCACCTCGGGGCGCGGCCGCCCGGAGCAGGGTGCGGATGAGCTCGGGCACGTCGAAGTGAGGGGGTCCCTGAGCCTCACTGGGGGTTTGGGGTGTCCCTGTTGCTATGGGGGTTCAGTTTGGATTTTGGGGGTTCAGTTTGGATTTTGGGGTGCTCCCCCCTCACCTCGGGGCGCGGCCGCCCGGAGCAGGGTGCGGATGAGCTCGGGCACGTCGAAGTGAGGGGGTCCCTGAGCCTCACTGGGGTTTGGGGTGTCCCTGTCACTATGGGGGTGCCAATCCCAATTTGGGGGTGCCAATCCCGATTTTGGGGTGCTCCCCCTCACCTCGGGGCGCGGCCGCCCGGAGCAGGGTGCGGATGAGCTCGGGCACGTCGAAGTAGGCGGCGTAGTGCAGCGCGTTCATGTGCGTCCAGCGGCTGCGCAGACCCGCGTCCCCCCCCAGGGCCAGCAGCCGCTGGGACAGACGGACGGCGGCCGCGGGGTCACCTGGGGACAGACGGACAGCACTGGGGACACTGGGGACATTGGGGACAGTGGGGACAGTGGGGACACTGGGGACAGTGGGAGGATTGGGGGGATTGGGGGGATTGGGGACATTGGGGACATTGGGGACATTGGGGACATTGGGAGGATTGGGGGGATTGGGGACATTGGGGATATTGGGGACACTGAGGGACAGTGGGGACATTGGGGACACTGGGGACATTGGGGACATTGGGGACATTGGGGACATTGGGAGGATTGGGGGGATTGGGGACATTGGGGACATTGGGGACATTGGGGACATTGGGAGGATTGGGGGATTGGGGACATTGGGGACATTGGGGACATTGGGAGGATTGGGGACATTGGGGACATTGGGGACACTGGGGACAGTGGGGACATTGGGAGGATTGGGAGGATTGGGGACATTGGGGACATTGGGGACATTGGGGACATTGGGAGGATTGGGGGGATTGGGGACATTGGGGATATTGGGGACACTGAGGGACAGTGGGGACATTGGGGACACTGGGGACATTGGGGACATTGGGAGGATTGGGGGGATTGGGGACATTGGGGACATTGGGGACACTGGGGACATTGGGGACATTGGGGGCATTGGAGGGATTGGGGACATTGGGGACATTGGAGGGATTGGGGACATTGGGGACATTGAGGGCATGGATGGACAGGGACACCCTGCCCAGACAGACGGACATTGAGGACAGTGGGGACATTTGGGGACATTTGGGGACATTTGGGGACATTTGGGGACATTGGGGACACCCCAGTGGGACAGACGGACGGAGACTGCAGGGTCACCTGGGGACAGACAGACATTGGGGACATTGGGGACACCTTGGGGACACCATGGGGACACCGTGGTGTCCCTGTCCCTGTGACCCACCCACACTGTGGACGCCTGGGGTTACGGAGAGCCAGGACAGACGGACACTGGGGGACACCTTGGGGACACCTTGGGGACACCCTGGGGACATTGGGGACACCATGGGGACACCTTGGGGACACCTTGGTGGCCCTGTCCCCGTCACCCACCCACGCCGTGCGCGCCGGCCTTGCAGGCGTAGTGCAGCAGGGTCATGTCCGTCAGTCCGTCCCTGTCGTCCACGTGGCACCCGCGGCGCAGGATCTGCGGGGACACGGGGGCGTCACCGTGCCACCAATGTCACCAGTGCCACCCCAGGGACACCCCAGGGACACCGGGGGCGTCACAGTGCCACCAGTGCCACCAATGTCACCAATGCCACCCCAGGGACACCCCAGGGACACCGGGGACGTCACAGTGCCACCAATGTCACCAGTGCCACCAATGTCACCAATGCCACCCCAGGGACACCCCAGGGACACCGGGGGCGTCACAGTGCCACCAGTGCCACCAATGCCACCCCAGGGACACCGGGGGTGTCACAGGGCCACCAATGTCACCAATGCCACCCCAGGGACACCCCAGGGACACCGGGGGCGTCACAGGGCCACCAATGCCACCAGTGCCACCCCAGGGACACCCCAGGGACACCGGGGGCGTCACAGTGCCACCAATGTCACCAATGCCACCCCAGGGACACCGGGGGCGTCACAGGGCCACCAATGTCACCAATGTCACCCCAGGGACACCCCAGGGACACCGGGGACGTCACAGTGCCACCAGTGCCACCAGTGCCACCCCAGGGACACCCCAGGGACACCGGGGGCGTCACAGTGCCACCAGTGCCACCAATGCCACCCCAGGGACACCGGGGGCGTCACAGGGCCACCAATGTCACCAATGCCACCCCAGGGACACCCCAGGGACACCGGGGGCGTCACAGGGCCACCAGTGCCACCAATGCCACCCCAGGGACACCGGGGGCGTCACAGGGCCACCAATGTCACCAATGCCACCCCAGGGACACCGGGGGCGTCACAGGGTCACCAATGTCACCAGTGCCACCAGGGACACCGGGGGCGTCACAGGGTCACCAATGTCACCAGTGCCACCAGGGACACCCCAGGGACACCGGGGGCGTCACAGTGCCACCAGTGCCACCAATGCCACCCCAGGGACACCGGGGGCGTCACAGGGTCACCAATGTCACCAGTGCCACCAGGGACACCCCAGGGACACCGGGGGCGTCACAGGGCCACCAATGCCACCAATGCCACCCCAGGGACACCGGGGGTGTCACAGTGCCACCAATGTCACCAATGCCACCCCAGGGACACCGGGGGCGTCACAGGGTCACCAATGTCACCAGTGCCACCAGGGACACCCCAGGGACACCGGGGACGTCACAGTGCCACCAATGTCACCAATGCCACCAATGCCACCCCAGGGACACCGGGGGCGTCACAGTGCCACCAATGTCACCAATGTCACCCCAGGGACACCCAGTACAACCCAGAGACATCCCAGTGCCACCAGGGGCCACTCCAGTGTCACCAGGGACACCCCAGGGACACCAGAGGGACACGGGGACGTCACAGGGTCACCCCGGTGCCACCAGGGACAACCCAGTGTCACCAGAGCCACCGGGGACATCCCTAAGGACCCCCCCAAACTCCCTCCGAACCCCACCCAAACCCCCCAAACCCCCTCAAGGAGCCCCCAAACTCCCGCAAACCCCACCATAAACCCCCCCAAACTCCCTCATAACCCCCCCAAACCAACCCAAACCCCCCCAGATTCCCCCCTAGGACCCCCCAAACCCCCTGAGGACCCCCCAAACCCCCTGAGGACCCCCCAGACCCCCTCAGGACCCCCCAAACCCCCTGAGGACCCCCCAGACCCCCGTTTTGCCCCCGTTTCCCACCTCGTTGCCGACGATGCCCACGCCGTGCTGCATCCTGGCGCAGGATGGCGAAGAGCTGCGGCCCCCAGACCCCCTCGGGACCCCTCGAACCCCCTCAAAACCACCCAAATTCTCCCCTAGGACCCCCCAAACCCCCTGAGGAACCCCCAGACCCCCTGAGGACCCCCCAGACCCCCCGTTTCCCACCTCGTTGCCGATGACGTCCACGCTGTGCTGCACCTGCGGCACCCACTGGCGCAGGATGGCGAAGAGCTGCGGCCCCCAGACCCCCTCGGGACCCCCCAAACCCCCTCAAAACCACCCAAATTCTCCCCTAGGACCCCCCAAACCCCCTGAGGACCCCCCAGACCCCCATTTTGCCCCCGTTTCCCACCTCGTTGCCGATGACGCCCACGCCGTGCTGCATCCTGGCGCAGGATGGCAAAGAGCTGCGGCCCCCAGACCCCCTCGGGACCCCCCAAACCCCCTCAAAACCACCCAAACTCCCCTTCAGGACCCCCCAAACCCCCTGAGGACCCCCCAGACCCCCTGAGGATCCCCCAGACCCCCCGTTTCCCACCTCGTTGCCGATGACGCCCACGCCGTGCTGCATCCTGGCTCACGATGGCGAAGAGCTGCGGCCCCCAGACCCCCTCGGGACCCCTCAAACCCCCTCAAAACCACCCAAACTCCCTTCAGGACCCCCCAGACCCCCTGAGGACCCCCCAGACCCCCCGTTTCCCACCTCGTTGCCGATGACGTCCACGCTGTGCTGCACCTGCGGCACCCACTGGCGCAGGATGGCGAAGAGCTGCGGCACCGTCGTGCGCGGGTCCAGCAGGATCTCCCGGCACGCCGCGTCGTTGGGGTCGAAGAAGGTGAAAGCTGGGGGGGCAAAAACGGGGGGGGGGGACGGGGACACACGGGGGGGACACCGGGGGGGTGGCACCCCGAAATCGTCAGAGCCGAAACAATGGGGAAAGAATCCATCCCTGACCCATTCTGGGCATTTTTTGGGGGGTCCCCATGGGGTTGTCTGTGACCTGGAGGGTCTGGGGGGGGGGTCGTTGTCACTTGCGGGGGTCGTTGTCACCCGGGGGGACACGGGGGACACACGGGGGACATCGAGGGTGGCACCCCAAAATCGTCAGACATGAAATAATGGGGAAAGAATCCATCCCTGACCCATTTTGGGCATTTTTGGGGGGTTCTTTGTGCCCTGAGGGGGTCTCTGTCGCCCTGGGGGGGGTCATTGCCACTTGTGGGGGTCGTGGTCACCTGTTGGGGTCCCTTTTTGGGGGGTCGCTGTCACCTGGGGGGGGGTCACACCCCAAAACCATCAGACCCGCAGTAGTGAGCAAAGAGTCCCCCAGACCCATTTTGGGCATTTTTGGGGGGTCCCCATGGGGTTATCTGTGACCTGGGGGGGTCATTGTCACTTGTGGGGGTCGTTGTCACCTGTTGGGGTCTCTTTTTGGGGGGTCCCCAATCGCCTGTGGGGCTCCCCATCCCCTGAGGGTCCCTTTTTGGGGGTTGCCCATCCCCTGTGAGGTCCCTTTTTGGGGGGTCCCTTTTTGGGCATCCCTTTTTGGGGTTCTCCATCCCCTGTGGGATTTCCCCGTCCCCAGGGCGGGTCCCATTTTGGGGTTCCCCATCCCCTGAGGGTCCCTTTTTTGGGGGGTCCCCATCCCCTGTGGTGTTCCCCATCCCTGGGGGGTCCCTTTTTGGGGGGGTCACTTTTTTTGGGGGGTCCCATTTTTGGGAGGTGTCCATCCCCTGTGGGATTCCCCATGCCCGGGGGTTCCCTTTTTGGGGGTCACTTTTTTTGGGGTCCCTTTTGGGGATTTCCCCATTCCCGGGGGGTCCCATTGCCATGGGGGTCCCTTTTTTGGGGGTCCCTGTCCCTCGGGGGTCCCATTTTAGGGTCCCCATCCCCTGTGGGGTTCCCATCTCCGGGGCATCCCTTTTTGGGGGTCCTTTTTTGGGGTCCCATTTTTGGGGGGGTCCCCCATCCCCTGTGGGGTTGCCCATCCCCGGAGCATCCCTTTCTGGGCATCCCATTTTGGGGTCCCTTTTGGGGTTCCCTTTTTGGGGTTCCCATTTTGGGGTTCCCTTTTTGGGGGGGGATCCCTTTCTGGGGTTCCCTTTTTGGGCATCCCTTTTTGGGGTCCGTTTCTGGGGTTCCCTTTTTGGTGGTCCCTTTTTGGGGGTCCCTTTTTGGGAGTTCCCTTTTTGGGGTTCCTTTTTGGGGTTCCCTTTTTGGGGGTCCCTTTCTGGGGGTCCCTTTTTGGGGGTCCCTTTTTGGAGTCCCTTTTTGGGGGGGATCCCTTTCTGGGGGTCTCTTTTGGGGTCCCTTTTTGGGGGTCCCTTTTTGGGCATCCCATTTTGGGGTCCCTTTTTGGGGTCCCTTTTTGGGGGTTCCTTTTTGGGGGGTCCCTTTTTGGGGTCCCTTTTTGGGGTTCCCATTTTGGGGTTCCCATTTTGGGGTCCCTTTTTGGGGGTCCCTTTTTGGGGTCCCTTTTGGGGTTCCCTTTTTGGGGGGGATCCCTTTCTGGGGTCCCTTTTTGGGGGTCCCTTTTTGGGGGGTCCCTTTCTGGGGCGTCCCTTTCTGGGGGGTCCCTTTCTGGGGGGTCCCTTTTTGGGGGGGGTCCCTTTCTGGGGTTCCCATTTTGGGGTTCCCATTTTGGGGTGCCTTTTTGGGGTCCCTTTTTGGGGTCCCTTTTTGGGGTCCCTTTTTGGGGTTCCCTTTTTGGGGGTTCCCTTTTTGGGGGTCCCTTTTTGGGGGGTCCCTTTCTGGGGGGTCCCTTTCTGGGGGGTCCCTTTTTGTGGGGGGTCCCTTTTTGGGGGGGGTCCCTTTCTGGGGTTCCCATTTTGGGGTCCCCCCTGCCCTTGGGGGCGTGTCCCGGTGATTTGGGGCGGGGTCTCACCGTAGTCCTTGGGCAGGGGGGCGGGGGCCGCGGGGTGCACCATCGGCCGCTTGCGCCGCTCCACGGCCGGGCTGGGGGGGCTCGGGGGGCTCGGGGGGTCGGGGGGCGGCGCCCCCCCCGCCGGGGGGTCCCCCCCGCGCTCCTTGGTCATGGCGAGCCTGGGGGGGGGGCACAGAGGGGGCTTTGGGGGGGCTGGGGAGGGGTCTGGGGGGCTGGGACCCCCCCCCATTTGGGGTGATGGGGATGGGGGATTGGGAATGGGGAGGGGGCTCCGGGAATGGGGAGGGGGGCAGGGGGGTTTGGGGGGGTTTGGGGGGGCTGGGGAGGGGTCTGGGGGGCTGGGACCCCCCCCCATTTGGGGTGATGGGGATGGGGGATTGGGAATGGGGAGGGGGCTCCGGGAATGGGGAGGGGGGCAGGGGGGTTTGGGGGGGTTTGGGGGGGTTTGGGGGGGCTGGGGAGGGGTCTGGGGGGCTGGGACCCCCCCCCATTTGGGGTGATGGGGATGGGGGATTGGGAATGGGGAGGGGGCTCCGGGAATGGGGAGGGGGGCAGGGGGGTTTGGGGGGGTTTGGGGGGGTTTGGGGGGGCTGGGGAGGGGTCTGGGGGGCTGGGACCCCCCCCCATTTGGGGTGATGGGGATGGGGGATTGGGAATGGGGAGGGGGCTCCGGGAATGGGGAGGGGGGCAGGGGGGTTTGGGGGGGTTTGGGGGGGCTGGGGAGGGGTCTGGGGGCTGGGACCCCCCCCCATTTGGGGTGATGGGGATGGGGGATTGGGAATGGGGAGGGGGCTCCGGGAATGGGGAGGGGGGCAGGGGGGTTTGGGGGGGTTTGGGGGGGTTTGGGGGGGCTGGGGAGGGGTCTGGGGGGCTGGGACCCCCCCCCCATTTGGGGTGATGGGGATGGGGGATTGGGAATGGGGAGGGGGCTCCGGGAATGGGGAGGGGGGCAGGGGGATTTGGGGGGGTTTGAGGGGCACAGAGGGGTCTGGGGGGCTGGGACCCCCCCCCATTTGGGGTGATGGGGATGGGGGATTGGGAATGGGGAGGGGGCTCCGGGAATGGGGAGGGGGGCAGGGGGATTTGGGGGGGTTTGGGGGGCACAGAGGGGTCTGGGGGCTGGGACCCCCCCCCCATTTGGGGTGGTGATGGGGATGGGGGATTGGGAATGGGGAGGGGGCTCCGGGAATGGGGAGGGGGGCAGGGGGTTTGGGGGGTTGGGACCCCCTTGGGGTGATGGGGGTGAGGGGATGGGGAGGCGGCTCCGGGAATGGGGCGGGGGCAACGGGAATGGAAATGGGGAGGGGGTCCCAGGACCGGAATGAGGAGGGGACGGGGGGGTTTGGGGGGGTCTGGGGGGGCTGGGGAGGGGTCTGGGGGGCTGGGACCCCCCCCTTGGGCTGGTGGGGGTGAGGGGAAGGGGGGCGGGAATGGGGAGGGGGCACCGGGAATGGGGATGGGGGATCGGGACTGGAATAGGGGACTGGGAATGGGGAGGGGGCAGCAGGAGTGGGGAGGGGGCGGCAGGACCGGAATGGGGAGGGGGCTCCGGGAATGGAATTGGGGACCGGGAATGAGGAGGGGGCTCCGGGATTTGGGATCGGGATGGGGGAGGGGGCTTCAGGACTGGAATGGGGGACCGGGAATGGGGAGAGGGTACCGTGATTGGGGAAGGGGCTCCGTTACTGGGGAGGGGGCAGCGAGAATGGGGAGGGGGCTCTGGGAATGGGGAGGAGGAAATTGGGATGGGAATGGGGGACCGGGAATGGGGAGGGGGCTCCGGGATGAACGGGGGAAATCGGGATATTGGGACGAACCGGGATAAACGGGGGGCCTGGCTGGGGGTCCCCGGGATGGGGAAGGGTCCCGGAAAATGGGGAAGGGTCTCTGGGATACAGGGAAGGACCGGGATGGGGATAGGGGAACCGGGATGAACGGGGGGTCTGGCTGGGGGTCCCTGGGATGGGGAAGGGTCCCGAGAATGGGGAGGGGTCCCCGAAAATGGGGAAGGGTCCCTGGGATGGGGAGGGGTCCCGGGATGCGGATGAATCCCCGAAAATGGGGAAGGGTCCCTGGATGCAGGCGAGGATCGGGATGGGGAGGGACCGCGATGGGGATGGGAGCCCCGGGATGAACGAGGGGTCTGACTGGGGGTCCCGGGGATGGGGAGGGGTCCCCGGGATGGGAAGGGATCCCCGAAAATGGGGAGGGGTCCCCGAGAATGGAGATGTGTCCCCGAAAATGGGGAGGGGGCTCCGGGGTACCGGAGGAAATCGGGATACTGGGAGGGACCGGGATGCTGGGAGGGACCGCGATAGGGGCACAGGGATGGGGAGGGGTCCCCGGGATGGGGAGG